TGGACATAAAATTACTCTTCAGGAAGGTTCCTGGCCTTAGACTTTGTGCTGCATTCTTTCCATCTAACTGAGCTCTTAGAAGCCCTCAAAACTGGAGTCAGTTCAGCATCTCTGGGTTTCTCTGATGGGCAGGACTATACTGAACCAGACTCTTCTGAACTTGCCCTAGAACAGACCTGTATTCAAGGGAGGCCAAGAATTGTATCCCCAGACGGGTTCTATGGAGGCCTGGAGCCAGAGGGTCCAAAGATGCAGGAGTGGCTCATACCTGCAAGGTTGGGGGACCTCAGTGTCCAAGGCTACCTAGAGAACTGGGATCATTCCAGATCCTGTTGGTGTGTCTCCTCTATAATACCTCCAAGATAATGAAGGGAAGAGGGGAGTGTCTTCAGATTTTTGCATTTTCCTTTAAGAACACGTACCCCTTAGTCTGAATTTAAACAGTCTATACTCAGCATCAGTCAGAAGCCAGTGCACCGATCTTCAGGATAAATGACACCTGGCCAATAAAACTGGGCTTTGGAACACACTGTTTTTTCTTCATTTATGAGAACTCGTCCTCCCTGAGTGATTGATCAATCCTGTCTATGGACCACTGGGAAGAGACGTGATGGGGGAATCTTTCTGGATTCCATGTTTCCCTGACTTGTTATCTCATAATTATGTCTCGCTGTAGCTAATCATTTTAATAACCTTTATTGCAAAACACCTTGATAAGCAGCTTTAAGAATTCTGTATGCTTCTGAGACCCAAAGGTAGCAAGGAAAACATCTGGTGCTTCCATTATTCCTGGTGTCTCCTTACTTCAAAGGCCCCTCTCTCCGGCTCTAAAGAGGGCATCCAAATAATCAGCATCTGCCCCTGCCTCCCTGTGCCACTACCCTCAGCTACTTCTGGAAGTCACTTCTGTCTCTACTCCCTCCCTACTCGTGTCTTTCTAACATACTGCAGCCAAACTGATCACTCCTTGCTAAGCACTTTCCTCAGGTCAACTCACGGCTCAGAAATCTCTAGTGGCCTTTGTTTTCATCCACACCAAGTGGGAACTCCTCTCTCTGGCTTTCCCGGCAGTCCAGGACCCGGATGCACCCCACTCCGTTACCCGCCGTACTGTTCCCTGGTCCTCCTCAGCTCCCCTCTCTGTTCCGGGGGCTGCGGTTCTTCTGCACAGCTTATTCCCACTTCTCTGCCTTCACTCGCGTTGTGCCCTTGGCCTGGAGAGCTTTTTCTTCTGCCTAAGAAAAGTCTGCTCATTTTCTGAGGCCCAGATCAAATTCTGCCTTTGCCAGGAATCCCACTCTCCGATTCCTCCAACGAGCAAATTCTCCTGGCCCCCTAGAGTTATATGGCATTTAAATGGCCTTTCCCACTGGACCTGAGTGAAAGAGCCCTGTCTCCGGTCTCTCTCTACCCTCATACCTCACTTCGTTTCCCGCATAGTGCTCCTACTCACTTGACAGGCGCTCTACGTGTTATTACTTGTCGTTCTCCTCGCACTAGAATACAGAATCTACGCAGCCAGGACTTGATCTGCTTGGTTCCAAATACCCAGAGCCATGCCTGACACATGGTAGGAACTTGATCATTGATTTCATAAATATGTAAATATATGTAAAATGGATATATATGCATATATATCCATTGCATATATGGGTATATACGCATATATATATGCATACGTAGGGTACAATGGGCTATATATATATAATATATACATATATTATATATGTAATAAGTTATATGGAGCGATAGAGGTAGATATTGAATATATATATTTATTATATACAGTTTACCCTTGAACAATATCAGGATTAGGGGCACAATAGCCCCACGCAGTTGAAAATCCCCATATAACTTTTGACTTCTCATGAGGAACCCTAACTTTGTGAAGGCAACAGTACCAACCCTTTCCCTGCTACCCCAAGTGTCCCCTGTTTTGGTTGCTGACCCGTCTCCCAGAATACACTATGCCTTCTTATACCTTGGTACCACTGCACACCCTATTTCTTCTGCCTAGAATATCCTGGCCTGACCTCTCTTACTGGCAAACTCCCAAGCATCTCGAAAACCTTCAGGGAAGCACAGCTTCTTGGATGCCAGTCACCACTCGGGTAGAGCTCGTCATTCCCTCTGTGTGTCCCCATTGGATCTCTCACCAGCCTCAATTTCGACCCCATCACATCATTCAGTGTCTGGTCTCTCCTGGACTGTGAACTTCTTAAAAATGATGACCAGAGCCAGAAATTATTTACTTAACTGTGTAGGCCCAATACTGACAGTGCAAAAATATGTTAACTGGTTACCGTGAATCAGATAAAAGAATGAGGTCCTAGATGGCCTGATTGAAGCCTAGCCCACCACATCTGATAAGTCATCATATCGTGGAGGCCTTGTACATACTAAACTCTTTGTAAATGTTTCTGGGATAAAGGGGTTAAAGGAGTGAATGTGTTGTGAAACCAGCAATTTTCTTGTTCATTCCCAATTTCTCTATGATCACTCCTTTTCCCCGGGAAAACTCGACTTCCTTCCACAAGGCTCCATTCTGAGTTCCCCAAAGTTTCCTTCTCTCTAATCTGGCCACATCCTGCCTACCTATTTGTTATTGAAGCCTGGATTTTATAAACATACAAAACAGATGGGGTTTTTCCAACAGGCAAGAATCAAAGAGCAGACACTTACCCACAGACTGGAGTCCCCGAGCAGGTTATTATTAGCAGCAATACAACTCTGGTCATGCCATGAGTTGTGAAGATTAAGCATAATAATATTTGGGAAACAATTTAATAAAGAAGTAACTATTCAGTATAATTAATAATGATGCATTAAAGTAATAAAGTTTGAGGGTAGTAACTCCTAGCTTTTACCCAGTTCATTCTCCTTGAAAGCTCAAGGGGTGCATTTGTACACGTATTTGACCTTAATTTAGACTGAAGTCATCAATATTTAACAAAATGAGAGGAATCCAACGAATTGTAAATACTAATTTTGAGCTAAGTAAGAATATAATTTTGAAAGGTGTGCCATTGATAATTAAAAGAGCCAAAGATTAGACTTAATAGCAAATTTTCCTTAAGACAAAACAACCAAAAAATGTAAAACTGAAGTTATACTTGCCATGTCATAAAACAATATAGTAGGAAAAGTTCTCCCAAAATGTATCTTCTTCTTTCTTTGGTTAAAGTTAATGATTCTTTGTGTCCTCTTATTAAAAAAAAAAAAAAAAAAAAAAGTCAGTGCTCCTTTTCCTCCTGTTTAATGTGTAGATTAATATTAATTTGGCACACCATGAGTTCCTGTAGTTAGCATTTCCCTTATTCATGAAAAAGCTGCCATATTTAGCTTCCACTGAAGTTTCCACTGAAGGCACTAAGAAGAAAGGGTTTTTTGGAGGGACATACCACAGGCAAAATTCTACTCTTTGCCACTTGTCTCTTCTGCCAATGCCCACTATCTTAAATGCCTCTGTAAGGTCCCTGGAGACTGAGAGGGTCAGAGTACATCTTTGAGACCCTCCATTTCATTTATGGAACGCTGAGGGTGCCCCATCGGAGGGATTGCTATGACAATTTGCAGACAGTAGGGGCGATGGGACTCCGCAGGAGGTGGCTCTCCTAGTGATTTGGGTCTGCTCTAGCTCAGGCCTGCAAACTTGGTCCAGCCAGAGGCTCTGCAGATTGGTGAGGCGGAGCACAATGGACCCAGTTTCCCCAGAACTTCAGAAACTGGGCACTTCCTTCCGGAGAAGCTATTCCGAGAAGTCCCGAATAGCTTTCAGCCCGCAATCCTTCCTAACTGTTGGAATGACAACCTGTGACCTTTGTGCAAAGGACGTTCCACACACCACAGGACGCAGGTGTGAGATGGGAAAGCACTTTTTCAGCCTTCGAGGGAAAAAGGCTGTAGATGGCAAGCTGGGAGGGCAGGGACATTCTCCACGTGTCTCGGAAGGGGAGAGAAACTTGTCTCTGGGAATGTTAAAGGTGTCTCTCCCTGACCGCGGAGAGCGGAAAGAAAGGTGTGTCTCTCCGCGTGGCCGCGCAGGAGAAAGGCTCTGAGTTGTAAGGAAATGGGAGGTGTCTCCGATGTTTATTTTTGCCTAGCAACCCACAGCCAACTGCTTCCCCAGCAGCCATCCACAAGCGCCTCTCAGCCTCCCCTGTCCTAGAGACTGGAAAGCGGTCACTTGGTGTCAGTAAATCGGGGAGGGTGTGTGTGGTGGAGGTGGAGGTGGGAGGGCAGCCCCCTCCTTCGCCCACGCTCAGGGCTCACCGAGCTAAGCTGTGGTCCTCTTTCGGGCTTGACTTATCGAGGTGACCCTCGCACGACTAAGTTATTTACATGATAAACTGGGGAGAGGGGGCGGTTAAGCCACTGGGACCGGATTGGGGTGACAGTATTGTCTGTGCGCAGCCATTGGGTTCAGAAAGCTGAAAATGCCTGTGTTTGGGGGGCACTCGCGGGAGGGGTGGGGTCTCTGCAGCGATTTCGGGGGAAAGAAGCAGTGGTAGGTTGCGCTGTAGGAAAAAAGGAGGGGTGCTTGCAGGGGCTGGGGTCCGGGGAGGGGAAAAGGTCGTTAGGAGGGGAGCGGAGGGGAGCAGTGCAGATGGCCGGAGGGGGAGGCAGAGGCCGAGCGGAGACTGCAGACTTTTCCGGGGATGGAGGGGTGGCTATGCAGATGACTGGGTGGGGTAGTGACTCCCGAGGGTGGCTCGGGTGGGGGTGGGGTGTACGCGAGCGCCTGTGGCTAGGCTGGGGGGGAGGGGGAGCCCGGGGGCGGGGCCTGCGCCGGCTGTGGGGGGGGGGGGGGGGGCGGGGTTGCCCTCCCGGGCCGCGCCGCGCGCGGGCGCCAGAGCGAGTGTGCGCGGGGGCGCGCGCGCTCGAGCCCGGGAGGAGGCTCCCGAGCGAGTCGGTCGTGGCGGCGCAGCCCGCTCCCCCGCGCCCTATGTGAGGGAAGGGGGGGGGCCGGGGGCGCGGGGGGGGGGGCGAGGCATGTGCGCGGGCGGGGGGGTGCTGCAGCCGCCCGAGGAAGAGGAGGACGGCGGCGGCGAGGAGGAGAGCGGGGGACTCGCGGCGGCGGGCCCGGGCCGCGGGGATGCAGCGGACTGTGTGTGTCTGGCTGTAGCTGACGCGAGGCGGCGAGGAGGCGCCGGAGACCCGCGAGAGGGGCGACCGGGAGGCGGCTGCGGCCGGGAGAAGTAGCAGCAGGACGGGCGGCGGCGGCAGCGGAGACGGCAGCCCTGAAATGCATTTTCTTCTCCAGCGGCCATGTTAACCAGGAAACCTTCGGCCGCCGCTCCCGCCGCCTACCCGACCGGTAAGGAGGGCCGGGCCGCCACGCCGCCCCGGGCGCCCGCCCCCGCCGGCCCCCGCCGGCCCCCGCGCGGCCGGGGTCCAACCCTCGTGGCGCGGGCGCCCGCCGCCTGCCGGACCTCGAACAAAGTCTGCGCCGCGGCGGGGCCCCCGGGCGGACGGCGCGCCCTCGCCTCGGCTCCGCTCATTGTTGCACGCCGGCCCCAGGGCTCCACCGAGTGGAACCCTCGACCCGGCCGGCGGGGGCCGCTCCGGGCCTCCCCCCACACCCTCGCCCGGGGCTTGGCGAGGCCATCGCGCCCTTGTCGGCGGTCCAGTCCTCTTCCCGGCCTGCGGCCGCTTGCAACGTGGGCCACCCAGCCCCGGCCCAGCCCGGCTCCGCCGCGGGGTCGCGAACTCGCGCGCCGGCGCCCGACTTAACTTTGCAGCTGCCCGAGCCCCGCCCGGGGCTGCGCGCCTGGGATCCGGGGCCGGGGCGCCCTTTTAGTCCCCCGGACGCCAGTTTTTACCATCCGGCCTCTCTCCTGGGGAGAGCGGGGTTCGCTACCCAGAGGGGTGGGGCGGGGCTACGGGGTCTGGGTGACTTTCTCTCCCCTGACCCTCTTTTGTCTCCTCCTGCGCGTGGCTCCCAGGCCGAGGAGGGGACAGCGCCGTTCGTCAGCTTCAGGCTTCCCCTGGGCTCGGTGCTGGGGCTCCCCGGAGCGGAGTGGGGACCGGCCCGCCCTCCCCGATCGCCCTGCCGCCTCTCCGGGCCAGCAACGCGGCCGCCGCAGCCCACACGGTGAGACCCAGCCCCGCGGGAGGCCGGGGGGAAGGGGTGCGGGAGGGGCCCGGGGCATAAACACCCGGACGGTGGTGTTCTGACGCCTGGAAGAGAAAGGTCGAAGTGCGAGTGTCTCCACGCCCCTGGCTAGTGTCCTCTCTTGGACGCCACCCTATGCAACTTGGGTGAGCCCAAAGCTGCAGCCACAAAGGAAGATTCGTGGCGTGGGCCCCTCACTTCCCCTCTGGAGCCCGCCCACCCCTGCGCTACTCTTCCTCGGAACTTCCTTCTTGCTTTTTTCCTTCTTTTTTTCCCTCCTTTTTCCGTCCTTGCTTCCCAGAGCTCCTTTCCCTGACCGGATAAACACCCCCCCACCACCACGTTGAGTAGTGGGTATTTATAGAACAGATCTGTGTTAGGGGACAGTCAGGCCGTCCTGCCCAGAAAATCGATCCCCCAAAGAGCCTCCCAAGCCTGGCTCCAGCCAGCAGGGAGCACCGCCAATTGCCCCCGCGTGTGGAAGCATGTTTTATGAGTGCTACAGGTTTGAGCACAGCAGAAATTGTAATTAACATTAACAAAAATAAGAGCCACAGCAGCAGTCAAAACAACAAGCCACCCCTGTAAGGATTCTGCATTTGGATATTATTCAAAAGGAAAGAGCCGCCTTTGCTTTGGAAGAGAGAAGGGCAGGGCAGGGCACCTGCCAGGTGCCGTGGCCCCTTGGTGGGTGGAGAGGGAGGGGAGAGCCCATCGTGGGACTAGTGGCTGCAGATTGGCAAGCTGGATTTGACTGCAGCATGTACCTTTTCTCAGCTCGCAGAGATCGCCCTTGGAAGGTGACTGCTTAGAGGGGCTGTGCACTTTAGGAGGCACTGATGGTTCCCCAGGTCCTATTTCCAATTGGATCCTCCAGAGGAACGGCCCAAGGTGGTTCTGCATGAGGGATGCTTGAGAGGAATATGGCTTATTTGTCTCTTGAAAGTTAAATTCTTGTAGAAAAGGCCATTTCTGCTCTACAGAGAAGCAGCTCTGAGGGTCAGGTGTTATGGGGAAACTTCTTCATTAGAGAATTTGTGAGAGGATGGCTGCAGCGGAGTATCTCCCCTTAGACCTGGACCAATGTGCACAAGTTGTATAGGAGAACATTTTGTTTTTAGTCATTCTCTCTCTCTTCCTCCCTCCCTTCTCTCTCTCCCTCTTTCCCCCCTCCCCTTAACATGTGACCAAGGGCTAGGAATTGACCACACAGAAGTTAACTGATTGTGTCCCACTGTTGATGGTGGAAGAGAATCTGTCAGGCTGGTTGATTGTGTATGTTAATGATTGAATGTTCCTGTTAAAGTGATGTTTTAGTTGAGGAATTGCCATTGGTTTTAGGGGTTTGGGTTTGTTAGGTTCGGAATTGTCTGACAATTTGGAAATGATCACATCCACTTTTTTCCATGTGTGAATGCAATCACATGACTTGGCGTGACCTGGAAAGAAGTACTTGGTTTGCATCTGGATTCCAAGAGTGGGCTTTACTAGATTTACTTTTTCCAATATGTACACGTAACGAGATTAAAGAAAACAGAAGTAGTCCACTGGAGGAACTGCCTGCCGTGGACCAGAAATGAAAAGATATGAGGGTCGTTCTGAGGACTCCCAGGAATGGATGCTTGTATTTTCTTGTGGTATCTGCCTGATTGACCTGTTTTTATCTTACAGTTAAAATTCCAGTGTGCTATTGGTCATTAGAGACTTGGTTTGGAAAGTGTGAAGTTGGGTTTTGACTGTGGTTTAGTTTTGATTTTATTTGTACAACATTGCAGGTTTCCTAGAACAGGAGAGTTTAAAAAGACTCCACAGCATTTATCTGATTCTACTCTTTGATTTTACGGGTGAGGAAATAGACAGGTTAACTGGATTGGTCAAGATTCCCTAGCCAGTTGATGTCAAGGCTGGAGCTAAAGGCCAGCCCTTCTGAGCCTAGCTTCAACATCTAGTTTGACACCGCTTATCCTAGGAAGTTGTGTTTGTTTTGTTATAAATGCAGGAATCTTTGCAGATCCATATTCTCGTATGTCTTTCAGGTGTTGATAAGGTGTTTTTTTTTTTTTTTTTTAAATCCCACAGCAATTATACCTGGGAAGAGCTGTTTTAGAGTAGGAGGGGGAAAGCGTATTGAGGAGAGGAAAATGATCTTGTCACAGGAGCTTGCCCATATTTTCCATTGTAAATGATACAGTAGGTGGGTAAATATGTGATTATAAAGACTGTGAACTTTGGAATTTATTTAGTTCATTGCCCTTTTGTTACCTGTCTCCATGGATATATTATTGTATACTTAGTCATTTTGTTTGTTTCTGTTTGTTCTAAAAGTGTACCCAGTGACTGTCTCAATTCCTATTAAGTATTTTTTTTTCTTTTAACGTTGTATAGAAGATAATATTATACTTATTTTTTAATTCCCGTATTAGTATTAGATCAGTTTCATAACTGTTCTGATGTTTAAAGCCATCTCCAGTTACCATTTTACCTTTATAAAATAATTGGGATTAAAGAAGAATGAGTATTCTCATTATAAAAATAGGAATATTTTGAAGAAGAAAAAGTAGATATTTGCCTTAGGGCCACATATGTTGTCTGTGACTGAGGAGCAGCTAAAATCCAACCTTTTTGCACTCAGTTCTAGTCCATAACACTATACGGCATTTCTAAGATGACTTCAGGGAAGTTTCAAGATGCTCAAAAATGTTAGCACAGTGAAGTATCTTCTATTTTCCACTTTATTATTGGAAGAGATTAAAACTACCAAGCTGGTTAGACTATTGTTCTTACATAATTTTTAATACTAAACCATTTCATGGTCAGAGAAGTCTTCTGTACGTCTGTTTGCACGCATACATCGTACCTGTCTAACAAGGGCATTCATTCTGTGCGTGTTTTAAATGCGACAGCCATGCTAGGTGGGCCCTGGCAAATAGGAATAAGCCACGTTCTGAGACTTCAGAAGGCGGAGTGAAAGGTTTTTAATATCCTTTCCCTTACGTAGGCCTGGCATACGTGTTCTGGAAATAGTGTGGCTCTTCTAGAGCTCCCCCCACCCCTTTTTTTCTAATCAGTTAATTGTGCTTCAGAATTTCGTTGTGATTAGAGAGTCCTGCAGTGTTTGAGATCAAAGGCCTTCCTTACCACCGCCTCTCAACCGAATCCCCCTTAACATCTGGAGTTTTTTTTTTTTTTAAATGACACCCATGGCTTTGAGGTGTTTAGTCAATGCATCTACTCTGGGTCCTTTTTAACTGGCTGTCGTTTGCCTTTAAGTCTCTGCTGAGGCACTGGAAGGCTAACATCTTGTGACTCAGGTCACCAGGGAGGATTCCCAATTCCCTGGGCATTAACTTTGTGTTTTCTTATGAAGGTACAAAGGTGGTTCCCAAATGGAATTCAGAGAGTTATCAGTTAGCAAGGGTTTGTTAACATGTGTTCTTCCAATCAATTGATACTACCTGAGTGCTTTCTGTCTGTTTGGGTTTATGTTAATAAGGACTTAACAAAGATAAGAGGTGACTCCGCCCTTGAATTGCTCACAGCCAGGTGGGTACCTCCGGTGTCAAAACAGGGTAAAATGAACTAGGTATTAACAGTCTATCCATGGGCTAAACGCACAGGGAAGGAAAGGGGACAGACAGTTCATTGGAAAGGTGGGAGGTACACTGGACGTTGAAGACTGAGGGGTTAGGAGATTCCAAGCAGCTTTTGGAAAGGATGATAATAATAGCTCTTCTTTACTAAGCACTTTATACATTTTACCTTATTTAATCCTAATAGCCCTAATGGGAAGCCCTGTTGCCTTTTGTTTTACAGCAAGTATTCTGAGGTTCAGAGAGATTAAGTAAATCACCCAAGGTCACGCATTTAGTAAGTAATAGAGCTGGGATTCATTCCCCATGTGTCTAATTGAAGATGTCTCAACTCGTAACCACTATGAAACATGACTTCACCAAAAAGCAGAGGAGCATAAAAGAGCTTGGTGTCTCCACAGGTCTTGGGGAATGCAGCTTTTTTACTCTCAGAATTGTAACAATGGTAGATGACATTGGAAGGAAGGACTGAGGTCATTTATGTCCTACATTTCAGAACCTGGAGTCCTTGCCTATCAGTTCATGTATTATCTGTGGAAATGGCATACAGTTGTTGGCCTTGAGCAAAAGTGAGGTTAATATCAGATTGACAGTTTTCAGTGACAGCTCCAGAAGTACTTTGGAGAGAAGAGATTTGAGGAATTTTAGACCCAGAAGCAAGGGGGCATGTTAGGAGTCAGCTTCCAGTGTCCCAGTGAAAGACAACAGGAGTGGGTCGTGATGCTGGGTCCCTGGAGAGGAAGTAGGATGAAGAGAGACGACAAGGCCCTAATGGGGACTTGGAAGGTGAGGGAGACGCTGAAAAGGATTTCCAGATGTAAAGCTTGAGTGACTGTGGCGGTGAAGCCTTTTGTTTATTGGAAATTGAGGGGATGGGAGGAGGAAATGGTTTTGGTAGGAAAATCATGAGTTGGGTTTGGATTGCTTGTGGGAAAGGCCATGGGTCTGTAGTTGGACACAAGGGCCAGAGCCCAGGAGAGTCGATTAGGCAGGCCCCAGCTAGATGTGGCATAGCCGCGGCTGTGGTCAGGATCAAGTAGGGAGAATTAGTGGGAGTTGAGAAGCCAGGAGAGTTGAGGCTTGAACCCTGGGGAACCCCTGAACCCACCCAAGGGTAGGTGAACTAATAGTTGAGACAGCTGAGAAGAGTCAGAAAAAGCATTTGGAGAGAGAGTAGGTGAACCAGTTAATAGTGAAGCTCTCTTTGGTGCTAGTCACTAAACGTGTGTGTTAAATTTTTAATTGTGCAAAACATGAAGACTGCTGTTGCAAAAACTGGAGTGAATTTCTGATGCTGAGAAAGTTTTGCTTTGCTCTCTTTTTAGGAGTTGCTAAAGCCCCAAGGTTAATTTTGTCCCTCGTGAAGCCTCATGCTTTTTTGTAGTGTATACACTGGTAATGTAGGTTTTTCTTCTGAATCACTCCTTCCCACCTTGAAGAGAATGGTTCTCTAGAAGAGATAGCTTTTGAATTTCAGGTTCTTGTATTTCCTGGTGCTTAAAAGACCACAGTGGGTCTTTGGAGGAGGGGTGCAGAGAGTGGGCTTGGGAACAAAAGCAGTTGGTCAAGCTTGTACTACTTTTATATACACTCATGGACTTCCTAATTCGTCTTTATGGACCATTCCGCTTTTGGCATCGAATGGGGATATAATAACCTGTCCAGCTACCCTGACAAAAGTTCACTTAGCATGAGATATCATCTATGACTTTAATAAAAGGGTTTGACTAGAAGTCTTCACAGAGTTGGTGTGAGAAGTAAAATGCCTCACTCTGTGAAATCACACTTTGGACAAACCCAGGGACTATACTATATTTCTACTTTGTTTTAGAAGCAAGCAGAGAGAAAAGTCATTCCTCAATAATCTCTGTGCAGGCGGTATGTCAATTAAAGAAAATTCGAGGGTCTTGGTCGGCTACTAAGGACGTGAAATTTCATTTTGGAACCCAGGTGATCCCAAACCACTTCCCAAATTGCGACATTACATATACAACTGCTTCTACTCTTTGGTAGTATATAAAGCCCAAAAGGTAGGATTCAGAAAGCGCACACAGAAAGAAATACCACAAAAGATTTCAGTTAATTTGTTATAAGCTCCTAAAGAACAGTGCCTCTGCCCCTTGTGCGGCTAGACTTTAGCTGATACTGGTTGAATGAATGAGCTGGGTTGTAAATGAGGAATTGATCCTTAAGATTCTATATACAAGTCACCAAGCAGGATGCATTAAGACTTGTGGGTGGTTGTCTGAGGCTGGTGAGAATTCCTAACTGAGAGGGCATCCTGGCTGCTAGTGCTCTCCCCTCCCTCACGTCTTTGCAATAATAATACTTGAAAGAAATCCCAAGCAGATTCTCAGTAAAAGGCTGGGGCCCCCTTGGCTTGCATGGGCAGTTTTGTTTGGACAGGAATGTTCAGGGTTGGCATGTGTGCCTGAAATAGACGTCGCTACTTTGTATTCCTTGTTGGAAAGCCCAGTATCCCAGCAGCCCACGGAAATACACTGTGCACAGAGCTGAGCCATTGACCAAAGGAAGGCCCAAAAGTGTGTGGTGGTTGGTTTGTCGTGCCGAATGGCCTTAAATGGTCATCACAGTCAATGAAGCCCAGACGTTTTTTAAAAATAGATGAGAGGTTCACAGGATGCTGCAGTGCATATCTACATGGGAATCTCTCAAGCCGAAAAGTGCAGATTTTTTTGCCATCGGTTCATACATCTTCCTAGGTGTAGTGTAGTCAGTTCTCCAAGTAGTAGAGAAGACCGAGAATGAATATGCTAGTGTTTTTACAACAGAGCTAGTGAGACATGGGAGAAAGAGAAACGGACAAGACAGACGTGGCCCCTGCCCTCCTGGCAACGAGGAAGCTACTGTGAAAGGCGGAGGGGGTGGAGCCGGCACGGAGACCACATGTTCGTGTTTTCTCTGTGTCCTGTTTCATTTCATATTAGGTGTAGGCTGAGCGGGATGCCTGGGGCGTGCCAGGCCTTGTGCTGAACGTTAGGTAGAGGCCAGGGAACAAGACAGATGCTTTCGGCCTCCAGGGGAACCTTCTCTGAAGATCCTGCATAAGTGCAGCCAACGGCTGTTCTGTCTGGCGGAGCGCTCACAGTGTCCTTGTTTGCAGGATCTCATGTTGCAAAGCCTTACCAAGGCCGCTCGTCCTTCTCCTTTATTTTCTCAGAGGCTGTCAGCATCAGGGTGTTCGCGAGGTCCCTCCTGGGCATACAGCTCCTCCCGTATAGTGCACCTGACTCCCCCTGCAAATGCAGACAGATCAGGTTTTGTAAAAGTGGGCTGGGGACTGACCTGGAAAATAGCCCATATGGGGACACAGACCTCTTGCACCCTCCTGACGGTTGCTTTCTGCGTTCCAGATCGGCGGCAGTAAGCACACAATGAATGATCACGTCAGCAGCCACGGCCACGGCCAGATCCAGGTTCAGCAGCTGTTCGAGGACAACAGTAACAAGCGGACAGTGCTCACGACGCAGCCCAATGGGCTCACCACGGTGGGGAAGGCGGGCTTGCCGGTGGTGCCCGAGCGGCAGCTGGAGAGCGTCCACAGACGGCAGGGCAGCGCCACGTCTCTGAAGTCTATGGAAGGCCTGGGGAAGGCGAAGGCCACCCCCCTGACCCCTGAACAAGCAATGAAGCAATACATGCAAAAGCTGACCACCTTCGAGCACCATGAGATTTTCAGCTACCCCGAGATCTATTTCTTGGGTCCAAATGCAAAGAAGCGCCAGGGCATGACAGGTGGGCCCAACAATGGAGGCTATGACGACGACCAGGGATCCTATGTGCAGGTGCCCCATGATCACGTGGCTTACAGGTACGAGGTCCTCAAGGTCATCGGGAAGGGAAGCTTCGGGCAGGTGGTCAAGGCCTACGACCACAAAGTCCACCAGCACGTGGCCCTGAAGATGGTGCGGAATGAGAAGCGGTTCCACCGGCAGGCGGCGGAGGAGATCCGAATCCTGGAGCACCTGCGGAAGCAGGACAGGGACAACACCATGAACGTCATCCACATGCTGGAGAACTTCACCTTCCGGAACCATATCTGCATGACGTTCGAGCTGCTGAGCATGAACCTTTACGAGCTCATCAAGAAGAATAAGTTCCAGGGCTTCAGCCTGCCTCTGGTTCGCAAGTTTGCCCACTCGATTCTACAGTGCTTGGATGCTTTGCACAAGAACAGAATCATTCACTGTGACCTTAAGCCCGAGAACATTTTGTTAAAACAGCAGGGTAGAAGCGGGATTAAAGTGATCGATTTCGGCTCCAGTTGTTACGAGCATCAGCGTGTCTACACGTACATTCAGTCCCGTTTTTACCGGGCTCCGGAAGTGATCCTCGGCGCCAGATACGGCATGCCCATCGACATGTGGAGCCTGGGTTGCATTCTAGCAGAGCTCCTGACTGGTTACCCACTCTTGCCTGGGGAAGATGAAGGGGACCAGCTGGCTTGTATGATTGAACTGTTGGGCATGCCCTCTCAGAAACTGCTGGATGCGTCCAAACGAGCCAAAAATTTTGTGAGCTCCAAGGGTTATCCCCGTTACTGCACTGTCACGACTCTCTCAGACGGCTCTGTGGTTCTCAATGGAGGCCGTTCCCGGCGGGGGAAACTGAGGGGCCCACCTGAGAGCAGAGAGTGGGGGAATGCACTGAAGGGGTGTGACGATCCCCTTTTCCTTGACTTCTTAAAACAGTGTTTAGAATGGGATCCTGCGGTTCGCATGACCCCTGGCCAGGCTTTACGGCACCCCTGGCTGAGGAGGCGGTTGCCAAAGCCTCCGACGGGGGAGAAGACATCCGTGAAAAGGATAACCGAGAGCACTGGTGCTATCACATCCATTTCCAAGTTACCTCCACCTTCCAGCTCAGCTTCCAAACTGAGGACTAATTTGGCACAGATGACGGATGCCAATGGGAATATTCAGCAGAGGACAGTGTTGCCAAAACTTGTTAGCTGAGCTGAGTCCCCCGATGCTGGTAATTTGAAAGATACGACGTTGCTGAGCCTTATCGGGTTGAAAAGGAGTAGCTCAGACCTGTTTTTATTTGCTCAATAACTCAACTCATTTGTATCTTTTCAGCACTTATTTTAATGTAAGAAAGTTGTTCATTTTGTTTTTATAAAATACATGGGGACAATGCTTTAAGTTTTTATACTTCTGAAACTGTTTTTGTGTTCTAAAAGTATGATGAGCCTTACTGTATCTAGTGTGGCAGAGTAATAAACATCAGTGGCAGGCCATTGATTACTTCATGACTGCTGCGCATTTACAGATTGGTGTCGAAGACATTCACTGTTTCTATGGTTCATAGTATATTCTCCCCAGGCGACTGCCCCCGAAGGGCCCCCTCCTCCCTCCATGCGCCAGGTTCACGCACAGGGGTAGCAGGTCCTGCCTCTGTTTCCCGTAAGTCCCGTGGGTGGTAGCGAGGGTGGGAGAAGAATGGTCAGGACGACAGTGATACTCTAAGGAGAACTGCACCTTAGGGACTTTTTTTCCCAAACCAGTGGTCAAACAGACACGACCTCCCCAAGGTTGTAAATGCCCGCTTAGCCTTCTGACTTTCTAAAAGGTGGCCAAGCACACCTGGGTGGGTAAACGGAAACGTGTGTGTTCCTTCAAATTTTCTAATATGATCAGCAAGCTGTTTTGTAAAGAAGCCTCAGATTACGGACTTGGTTTTGCACCTAAATATAGAAATGTATTCCATGAACTGTTCCTCCTCTTTGCTTTCCTCCTCTCTGTTCCTCTTTTACCACATATCTGTTGCTTGCATTTAGGGTTTTTTTTTTCCTTCCTTCAGATATATATCCCAGACTGTTAATACAGAAGAGAGACATTTCAGCTGTGATTATGACCATTGTTTCATATCCCAGTTTAAAAAAGAACAGCAGCCTAGCTACTTAAGGTGGGGATTTCCATAGTTCCAAAGGTTTAGCAAATTAGAGTGAGTTCACACTTTTCAGGTGCCACTGTAAGGTTCTCTTAGCCTGGGAAAGCATCAACTCTTTAAAGAGAAAAAAGGTTGAAAATCCTCTTGCTGAATAGAAGTCATTGTGATTGTTTAATGAGACCAATTTTAATAACAAATTTAAAGGAGGAGAAGCTCAATCGCAAGTTAAATGGTTTGACTTATTTGCGTCATTAGAAATACCATAAATTGCATTTCTCTATCTTACTTTCTTTTGGATTGCACTGATTGTTTTTGTGGGAATGACACTTTACCTGGGAAAGTAACTGAGAGGTAAAAGAATATTTTCGTCTCTGAATAATAATTATTTTCAAAGTGAAAAATTCAGTATTTTATCACTAATGTATGAGCAGTGATATTTAACAATTTCAAGGCACGTTGAAGAAATTTTTTAGTATGTGCAATTTAATATAGAAAGATTTTTGCCTGTTTGGAAAATAGGTTTTGGGTAGTGTAAACTAGGATAAATACGCTTTTATATGCACAGATATTATTGTATTGCCTGTAAATTGATTTACAGATACTTAAAGCATGGTCCCCGGCGAGGCCAAGAAAGTTTCCAGTTAAGTTCTTTAACTATTAGTCCCACAGTTTCTCTTACTTAAAAAGGAAAAAGAAAAAAAAGAAAAAAAGTAGTTTTTGGAACAAAACACTTATCTTGAGGCTTTGTCAGTTGTTGGTGGAGAATAACGCTCAGGAAATATTACAGATATTTGCCAAAAAACAGTAATAAGATTAGCTTATTAAAAAGATAGTGATGTTGTTATTTGCTTTTCTATTTAAGGGTGTCACTGATAAATTACTTTGTACTTCTGTATTTAGAAATTAGAGCTTCTTTCCCCAGTCAAATTCTTTAGCATACTGTACACATCTCTGTGTAATCTGTGGAAGTGCAATAATATGTTAGAAAGTTGCTTTTTAAATGATGCTCACATGATGAAACCTCCAATCCGTGGCTTATGGAATTTGAAGACTGTGTATTTATTATTGAAATTCTGACTTAAAGGCATAACAAGTGTGAGACTTGGTATGGTGGCTTTGTAAAAACCATAAGCCTCTGAAATATGGTTTGCTTCTTGAGGTCAGTAAAAGAAAAACATAAAGGCTGTTTTCCCCTTGCAATGCTCCTCTTCCATACCCACCCTCGTCTTCACAGTTAGGTTTCTATGAACCTGAGCCTGCCATTAGTAGAAATTTCCCTTTAAAATACATGTGAAAATCTATAAATGGACTAATACTGCTTGTCTTTCCCCCAACACATAAAACTAGTTCTTAAGATGCCAATAGTGCATTTGTGACTATATTCACAAATGTAACCGGAAACTTTTAAGCCAAACGATAATGTGCAGCACTAGGCACCCCCGTCCCCAAATACAGTGAAATTTACTTCATTCACAAAGAACCACCGTGTTCAGTGTTTCGTGATAGGGCTGCTTTGAAAAAAAATTCTAGCTTAATTACGATGTCCAAAAAAGAAAAAAAAAATGTTGCATCTCTGTGATCTTAAAGAAATGAAGGGCTCTAATAGGCTACTAGGAGTTGGCTTGGAAACAGTCCTTGGTCTCACAGGTTACCATTATCTAGGGATGTCTGAGCTGTTTTCAGATTTCAGACTAGCAGTGTCTTGTCTTTGGTTGCAGTCTCATCTGGCTCCGTTCCTTGCACCTCCACAGTGCGCAAGAGCACGTCAGGGCGTTGCTACGACAGTGGAACAGCACGGTGACGCGGGACAGTGCAGATCACCAGTAGAGGAGAAGTTGTGCCCTTAGTGTTAACAATGTGCCTTTTGTTCCGAATGCCATGTTGTAGGGCATGCGTTTTTGGGCCTCTTTAACTCTTTGAATACCAGGCAGTGAGGATGGAACCCACCTCTGCAGAGCTACATCTGTCTTAAATACCCAGTTACTTACAGGCCTTAATAGAAACCGTAAGGCGTGACTCATCATCAGGCATTGAGGAAGGTAACCACTGGTTAGTCACACAGGAAATTCCTATGTTTAAGGGGTTAAAGATGGTCTTTGTTGTATCTGAACATCAGACTGATTTTTTAAATGATTTTTTTTGTTATGCTAACACTAGACAAAAACCAACTGTATTTGTAAAAATTTACCTCAAACCATTTAATTTTATAGTGTGATTAATCCCAGGGCATTTGGTCTGAACCAAAGTGCATTCCTTTTCTATGTGCCTGGCTCTAGTATGGATGGCCAGGGATTTTTACAATTTGGGTGCAAGGCACTTCAGCCACTTTTAAACTTAATGTGTGGTTTGGAGTCGTGTTCAAGGACTCCATCAGGAGGTTAGGCAACACTTCAGGCATCAGTAGCATTGGGCCATATTGGAATCTTAAAAGTGTGAAATATTTTAAGGAGAGCATTCATTTTTGTAATTTTTTTCATCAAGAATATTTCTGGTAAGCAGAAGACTTTAAAAAAAAAAAAACTGATTTGGTTGGTAAAGGTTTTAATATCGCCCAACATAATGCTGTGGTAGCATTTTAAAAAAAAGTATTTGTCAACTCTTGTTTCTTAGGGGCTTGTACATCTCTCTGCTATGGACATATAAAATTAATTGTAATTATACTCAGCTCAACTGCTACAGTTATGTCTAGGCAGTGGCTTGGGTTTTTATCGAGCAACAACTTAGACACGTGACTGTAATATGCTGCAACTGTGTGTACTGAAAATATGTGAAAATGGTTGAATGTGGACTGTGTATATATGTATGTAAACATTTCTGTGAGATGCTGCTGTCGCCACTTAACATGAAATATGTTCTGGTGGATTTTAATCCTAGTGGCCAGTTCTATGATACTGTATGTATTGTACAGCTGAAGACAGGAGTAAGACTGTTCAGTGAATATTTGTTACATTTTATTGTCGTGGCCAGAGATAATTTCAGAATAAAAATTTAATGTCCTACCTTACTTTTCTCCCCTTTTCTAACTATAATTTAACTCCTGATCTATTTCTGGTGATATTCTTGGTCTGGTAGCCTGGAGAGAGTCTAGAAGGCAAACATTGTCAGCTACAATTGATTTTTTTTTCTTTTTTATTCAGTATAAATGTGCAAGCTCCAAGTAAGAAAGACTAATGATTTTAGTAGGCAACTCTTGCTTTTCTCAGGATATCCTGTTCTTAACCTGTAATATTTCTACGTTACTTTTCCTTTATACAGACTCTGCAGCCATGTTCTATATTCTGCTGAAACATCAAATCTTTTTTTCTTTTTCTTTTTTTTTTTTTGAACCTTCAAGGTGACAAGCTGTGGGAGCGGAGTCTAAATTATTCCCCACCAGTCTATTCTTCTCTGCACCCAACTTCTGGCAAATGATTCGTGTATGCTCTCACCAGCTCCCCCATATGCTTCTTAATGCTTATGCCTTTGCAGTTCTTGTACTTGGTAGTCTCTATGGTTCATGTTTTGGGGGGTTTTCATGTCTCTTTCTGCCATGGCAGGATTAGAAAATAGGGCCTGTAAACTGCAACTAGCTTGTGATTTATCAAGTTCAGTTAATACCAAGTGAAGAGTTTGCTTACAGATGACAGCAAGCAGATGCTCTAGTAATTTGTCAGACATTGCAGGGATATTATGTAGACAAATATTTCCCTCTTGTGGAAAGAACTACCTCACGTTTTTATTTACACCCCTACTGCCACCAACAGCAGAAAAACTACTTAGTGTGGCTTCCTGCAGCAGAAGTTGGATTTGCGTAAAACAAGGGAATACTGTAGGGGTTTCCCAACCCAGACTTGGTCTTACCACATCCTACGTTATAATCTCCCATGACTGCTTCTCTTGCTAATCAGAGTTCTTACCCAGTGAAAAAATACCAACTGATGATCTAACCAAGAAACCAATATATTTAGGGAAAAAAATTAAGAGACGTGCATCACATATAAAATTGGAAGCTAGATGCTAAAGCAGCAATTTAAGATAGAATGTCCAGATCTGATGTACTCAGAGAAGATTATAGTTTCCACTCATTCTCTTTTATCAGATCTTTTCAAAGCTCTTTCTTAAATTGATTAATGCTATATTCTGTTTGAATTTCTGTAATCCTTTTGCTTTGGGAATCAACACCTATACAAATAACTATTTCTGGAACTTCAAAGCTGCCTTCAAACTAGCACTCCAGAATATTCTTATCTGGCATTGTTGGGAAAGGGAAAAATAGTTTGTTTTGGAAAGAGCATTAAGAGGGATTTGAAGAAAGAGTATTTGTGACTTTGTTTCACTGTTGTGTTTAAGAAGTTTGAATTATGCTGTGGTTTGTTGGTTTGTGTGGTTTTGTTTTTTGTTTTTTTGTTTTTTGGTTTTTTTTTAGTCATTAGGCAAATAAACACTTGTCATTAGTGACGCTTACCACTGTCCAAAACGAAAAATGACTGCCAGTGTGTTGCACATACATAAGAAAATTGCATCTTACTGCACAGGCTTTGGTTTTATTTGGCTTGACTTTGACATACTGTTTTGCTGTGGCACGTCCTTACTATCTGTGCTACATTTCCTATATATCGGGGAGGACATAATTACCATTTCTTTCCTTCTCAAGGAACTTAAATGAGCAAACTAATGAATTTATATTTACTCCCCCAAAGAAAGCTGACATTTTAGGAGTATTATGAGCTAGTCATCTCTAATAAGGAGCAGCAGGGTATAACTGATAAGTTACCAGAGCATTGCTCCTTCTGAAGAAGACTTCACAGGCCTCATGGTGTTGTATGAACATCAGTTCAGCCTTATATATTCCTGTAAGCTATAATTATCCTCACTTGACATTTGAGGAAACTGAAGTGACTTGTTCCAACGTGACTTTGCAAAAACAGTTTGGGCCTCAGGTTGCAATCTGATAAAGAATTTGGGTCTCGGACAGTAAAAGAAAATCCCCAGCTCTGTATCACATACAAAAATTTAGAAAGGGGGGGATTTGAGCTAGCAGTGAACATTTCTATTACTTGAATAAACTGTGCATCAGTTCCCAGGAATACTTTTTAAAAGAGGAGGAGATACAAAAAAATGGAGGACTAGAGCATCTTAGTCTCCTCAGGTGGACCTGATAACTATCGTGTGTTGTGCACACACCTCTTGGGTAATTTGTGGAAGAGGGACTCCTAACATTGCCATATTTGGGGAGGTTGATAAATTATAGTAGTTTTCTTCTTTTCTGTTCTTAAAATATGCTTTTTACATTTGAATGTATGAAAATATTTTTGACTCTTTACTAATTCTCAGGGATTAAAAGGTAAATTTTACTGACTGTAGCAGCAGGTAAACCTCTTAAATTCAAACTTGCTCAGGTTTCCTATTCTTTGCCTCCATACTAAAGAAAACACAGAATGCCTGCCAGGCAAATATATAAAAATTAAAGTTCCAAATACAATTTTAAAACACCAATTGTAAATAAACCAATTTTACAAACTAAAATATTGTGTCTTTCCTTGCTTTTTATCCCAAATCATTTCCTCTCCTAAGTTTCAGGAGTTTTAAATATCTAGACTATTTCTTCATTGGTAAAAATAAAGTGTGTTACTCACAAAACAAAACCCCATGAGCAGGGGAAATTTAATTAGTGTACCAGCAATTTGTGCATATTTACAGGA